CCCCCCTTCCTTTTCCTTTTCGCCGCTTTCTGTCAGGAGCATGTAATCCCATTACAGCCACCGGGAAGTCAATGTCGTGGAGTCAGCTCCTGTGAGAGAAGCAGGATTTTTCTCCCTCTCTCTCCCTTCTCCTTTGATCTCTCTCTCCTTCTTGTGTTAAAACAATGGCCACAGTGTAGTTTTTCACACCTTAAACAGAAACTACAACTTTTTTTTTCTTTTTTTTCTGTGCGCTCCCGCGCCTGGCGCAGAGCCGCGCGCCTCTCCGCGCCTCTCCGCGCCTCTCCGCGCCTCTGTGCGCTCGCAGCCAAGCGGAAGGAAACAGGCTGAATTATTCCACGGCCACGCTGCCACTCCGACTCCACGGCCTTGGCACGGCTTAAAAGAACGCGACCATTACACTGCCTGACAGGTTTTATTACCTTTAGCTCGCCTTCAGCAGAGATGGACAATTATGGGCCAGGCCAAGTGGTAATTTGCCTGAGAAAGGAGCGATTTACTATAGAACCATGAACCAAGGCGACAGGGCAGCGAGGAGAAGGAGGAGAAGGAGGAGAGGGAGGAGAGGGAAGAGAGGGAGGAGAGGGAGGAGAGGGAGGATGGAGACACTCCTGTCTGCTCTGAGTCCGAACATTTCCTCTAAACTTCCTGAAGGAGAGTGAATCTGAACTGTTCACTTTTTTTTTCAACACTCGTCGTCGACATTTCGAGCTAAAATAATGTTATTTTTTTATTTAATCTGATAGAAGTCAAATATTGAATGTTAGTTTTTTAAGAGCTACCATTATAAATAACCCGCTGTTAAATATATTATGTTAGAGGGTTTTTTAAAACAAGAAAAAGTTAATTTTCCTTCGGTATCTTTTTAATAATGGACAAAAATGTTCTAATCACATGATTAAATATTGTCTCCAGTGTCAGGCTGACGAGACGATTAATGGGGAGAATAAATAAGTCACGTTTGTTTACGTCATGTCACGTCATTGTGGATTATTTTCTACTCTCTGTGATATAACGTCTCCATAAAACGGACTTAATCCGACTGACATTTTACGCACCACTGGCCGTGAGAACATTTGTGTCTCCTGGAAGAAAATTTAAAAAAAGAAGAGAAAATTTACAACAAGGACGGGTATTTACTGATGCCGTGACCGAAATGTGTTTTCAGTTCGACCGTGTGTCTCAGAAAGTTGGTGAAGACGTAACAAGTGGTGCGCATTTTGGCACCGGACCGAGAACAAGTGCCGCAAATCAGTTTGTAGCGCAAACAAATGCAGGGGAGAGTTCTCCTCGACACAGCACACAGGGCTCTTCATGGTGACGTCAGAGTGTCGGTTCTAAGGCTGCTCACTGACCGACCAGACTCGGGGCTGCTCATCCAGACTCTCAGCGGCTGAACCAACAGGTGTCTCTGCTCCAGCCTTGATTTATTCCCGTGCGCTCTCCTCCTCAGCCAGAAGTGACTTTCCAAATCTAAAGTGCACGTTTATGAGCGCGTCCCTGGCTGCGTGATCCCGCCTGAACAGACCGTGTTCTCCGGGGATTGCACCTGGAGCTCAAACGTTGTCTCTTTTCACGCGAGTCTGTGCACAGCAGCTGCCTTAAAGCAAGCAAAGGCAGACACAGAGAGGCCCACGCGCTGTCTTCGAGACGAGTTGGCACCGTGTTCTGCCCGTCTTTAATGTTCCATCAGCCTTTGTTCGGGACACAATATGGCAACTGTAAAGCATGACATTTTGCAATAATAAAACACATTTTCAATGATGTGAATCCAGGCGCGGCCGGGCCGAGCACGTTTGTTTTTGTGCGCACTCAGCCAATTACCAGTGAGCTCTTAGATAAGCCAATTAAATTTATGTCTCCTATTTTTTTTCAAGCAGAGAAAGGATGCGGATTTGGTGTTTTCTCCTACTTGGAAAAGCGATTTTCTCGTCATCACCTGGCGCTGCCTTTCTCTCTAAAGAAGAGAGAGAGAAAGAGAGGGAGAGAGAGGGAGACACCATGCGCCAGTGGCCCCCGGAACCATACGGTTTCGCGTCATTGTCTCCGCGCGTTGATCACTCATTACAGGGATTTAACAAATCCCGTGCTGGCCATGTTTTGTGTCATATTTTCACCATGCAAGATTAAGCAGATGTCCACACTGTAGGGCTACTCGAGGCTGAAAGAGAGACGGCCACTCCTGGGTGAGCAGCAGAGAGTAAAAAGCTTTGGGCACATCTTCAGAGGGGAAAATACACATTTAGGAGCCATAAACAGACTACAACCTGCTCTATTTCAGCCTTTGTGTTGTTTGTGAATAATTAATGTTAATAGGGGACAGGTTTGTATACTTTGAATGCAGGAACACAGGTGCGGAGTGACAGGATGAATAACCGGCCCCTGATTTTTGCCAGAGCTCGAGGGCTCTTGTCCAGGGTCTCCAAGCTGATGGAAAATATTGTCATCTCTTTGATTCGCAGCATTACTTTCACCGTGAACAAAAGCGGGTGATGAAAAGCTTATGTCGGAGTGAAAACGACCGATGACAGTGGCGGCGGTTCCAGACTCATGAAAGAAAGGGGGAAAGGGGGGAGCAACACGCGCGCTCCTCCGTTTTGTGCGCAATAGTGCTCCATCTAACTCAAATAAAGGAGCCTTTCTAACTTTTAAAGGAGCACTTTTTTGCTTTAATAAAAGCTGAACGGCTGTAGCCATTAAGCATATGGTGCTAAGCCGCTGCTGCTTTGTCCCGTGAAAGCCCTTTAGACACTAACTTGTGTTCTTCCCGGGATATTTAACTTCTAAAAAGCTCCAACTTTGTGCGCACGTCGACCAGAAGTGGCTCCGGGGCGCACGAGCTGTCGCTGCCACTTCACCTCATTGAGGAGGAGAGAGGATGATTAGCAGCACAGAGAACGTGTTGGGGTTTTCTTTCTTTTGTTTTTGTTTTTTTTAATCCCACTTTGGTTTATACTGTGATCACTTCATCTTGGGTTTAACTGTTGAGGTTCATGCGCGCATGTGCAGTTTCACCTCCAGAGATGACGAAGTCTGCGTGTCTGTGCTGCAGTGGGTGTTTATTTAAATATAGACGAAAGAAACTGTGCAGAATCCACACAGTTGTCAGTTGTATTTCTAACCTGCCTGTGATAGAGTTTAATAAAGGTTAAAATAACCTGTCCTGTCCAACAGACCTCTGGAGGTTTGGGTGATTGTTGAGGCTTTATAAAAGCATCATCACATAAAATAAAATAAATAAAAATACATATATATTTTTTTATCTCCTCATTGAGGCTCATTCCAGTGCCCCCTGTGTGTGTGTATACGGTGAACGCGTGTCTCCATGTTCGCCTGTGCCGTGCGCAATGACGCGCCCGTTGCGCACAGCCTTGGTCTGGTTCGGCCGCAGCAGCTCACTCCCTCCTGGAGGCTGGTTCATCTGTGGTGCGTGGTCTCTGCTCAGAAAGGACTAGAAATGTGTCCCGAGCTTGGAGACGTACGTGGGACCGTGTCCATGACGCCTGGAGGAGGGCGAGTTCGAAAAACTCCTGGGTTTTTAATCCTGTCAATCAAACACACGTCCATTTAAGCAGCCGCGAATGAGTGGATATTTTTATATGACGATGAAAACAAAGATGATGACTAACAGATGACAAAATCAGATGACAAAGACAGGTTGAATAATGTTGATGAATGTGTCAGTGGATTTTATTCCTTCACCTGCCTTTATTGTTATTGTGTTGTTTCTTATTTTGTTCCAATATATTTAACATTTCCCTTTGGACAAATTATCTTCACGGATTTTGAGTGGTTAAAAATCTAATCTAATCTAATCCACTCTGATGTAATATGATGATATCTGATGACATCATATGTGATGTCATCAGATAAATTAATTAATTATATCAAGCGTCATAGTAGTGTGTTGTGATCGACTCTAATCTAATGTCATTTATCAAAGACTGACACCAACTAATCTGTAATCCAATCTAATGTGATGTAATGACAGAATCAAATTTAAAGTAATGTTTAATGAAAACTTGAACCATGTTGTCTAGGCTGTGATTAATCCCTAATCTGTGATGTCATTTTTTCCACTCATGTTTAATCTCTTGTAATTTATTCACAGCCCACACTGACTCTGCATCGGTGCACGTGTGTGTGTGAGGGGGAGAGAAAGAGAGAGTCAGCTGCCTCTGGCCTCTGGACCTACCTCTCCATCCCCCAACCCTTCATCCCTCCTCCCACCCCTGGTGGACGGAACACGGAGGCCTGACCTCCGCGCCTTCAGACAAGGGAAAAGCGTCTTTGACTGATTTGGCCACAAAGACGTCTCGCTATGATCTTTGTTCCGGCTGAAAAGCAGGGTGTGTGTGAGAGGCATTGTGCACAGATTTTGCCTGCCCTGTCCTGAAATATTACAGTCCATTCAGCAGACTGTTCAGTGTTCAGTGATATGGAAATGAAGCAGCAGTCAGCCACGTCACGGTCAGTGGTTCCAGGGCTCAAAGTGCCAACCAACTATTCAAACAACTAATCAACAGAGAAACTATCTATCTATCCATCTATCTGTCTATCTATCTAACCAACCTGTCAGTTTTTGTCTTGTCATATATTTTTTACCATCCCTTTAAAATGCATTTTAAAGGATACCTTAAAAAAGAAGGCAGGCCTCAGGGAACCAATGACAATGCTTAAACCTGTCACGTGACTTTCAGGAAGTTGTATTGAGACACCTTGCTGCCATGTTGCTCCACAAAATGTTTGTGAAAAGTGAATTTCCTGACACGCTGCAGTGAATCCTCCACACCTGTAGGTGAGTCAACCTCCAGACTTGACAGTTGAATGACATTTATTTGCTAAGAAACTTTTGCAATGAGGCAAAAACCTTTGAAAAGCTGCACAAGTTGCCTTGAGTCACCAAGTTACATACTTAGTAAGTTAACTTTTTTCCTTCCTTAAAATCAGAAACGTCATCAATAACTTTGCAGGTTTACAATTGGTCAAAACACAAGTCAATGTCTCAGTCTTTGTTATTATGTAGTAGATTCCGTTCCATTAGTTGTTTAATATTTAATGAAGACATTTTATCTGTGGTATTTAACCACTACTTGCTGCTTTCTTCCATTTTTTTATATTTATATAGTTCTTAAAAGTTCTGCAGGAATAAAACTCACTGATATAAAAGTGACTTAGTTTCCTTTGTTTCAATGAATGTGTTTCATGTGCAGAAACTAACTAACTAACTAACTAACTAACTAACTAACTAACTAACCAACCCTCCCTACATTAACCACCCTCTGTGGTGCCATTCTCTACATTAACCACCCTCTGTGGTGCCATGTTGCTCACAACCAAAAAGTAATTTTTTTGCTGAAAAAGTTTATAATAAATAACCGGAAGTCTATTTTTAATAGGGTTCAAATCTGTGTGTGTGTTGATGATGGTGATGAAGCCAGCTCCTCTTCTTCTTAT